CATGCCACCAAGCATATATATGGTTCTAGTCCAGAACCGTTGTAGACAATTTAGTACTCAATAAGTGATGTGCTCACAATCAGACCCACTCAGCCTCCTCAGTCAAAGCACTGTTCATTGCCCATTTGAAGATCATCTTCATCGCACTTTGGACTTGACCACAAGTGCCCTGATCTCCTCCTGAGTATCTCTCCAAATGTTTTAGGCTAACAACTTCTATTATATTCTAACTAATGCAACAGTGCATGGCTCCTGCATGTTTTTCTTGTCTCGCTACTCCAGCTAAAACACTCAAGGTATACAGTCTGTTCAGTAAAGAATTATTTTTAATGAAACTGAAAGCCTCACAGCATTTAGTCTCTCTTAAGTTCGACCCAGCCTAAAGTGGGTACCAGAATGGCTGTCCTGGGACAGCAAAGACGGCCGGTGTAATGCTGACCACATTACCCATCCAGCGGCAATTGGTCTGTAAAAATAGGGGACGCTCTTCCCATATACCCGATGCGCCTAAGGCGTGAGAAGGGATCTTTACTTTTTTTTTTTTAAAGACAATAGTGATGTCTTTCATAACCACAGATGGCCTTTTCTTGACAGTTGCACTGCCAGTCAGGGTGTCTGCTCTTTCATTGCTTTTTGCACAAGCTCACCTAGAACAAGCATGAAGCTGATTGTGCGAATTGCTGCAAGGTGTATAAGGCGGGTCCACAGTTTCTGTGTATACCCTGAACCCTATATACCCTACTGCAAACTGAAACAGCAAATACCAAATCCATAAATACCGGTCACTAAAGATTGGTTACTCATGTGGACAGGCATCCCAGAATAATTAATGTGTGATGCAGACATGCTTTCTATTTGCAGAAGAGAGATTTCAAGTCTGGCCAGTTAGTATTCCAGGAAAGATCAAGCTGTTTGGATCAGTGGAGAACATGTGTTGCATTATAGCCTTGATAGAGATCTGTGGCTTTCTCATCTACCACTGAAAAGAAGAAGATGAGCACAGCACAAGGAGGGAACACCTACCATGGGGTTATACTTCCTGGGAGAGTAAACAAGAGTCTTGGATGTGACATTTCCAAGGAAATCACCAACCTTCAGGATTTCCATACTCTGAAACAGGAAAATAAAGCCATAATCAAACAATAAAAGATATCTAGTTTCTTCTTCGCACTGTAAACTCAAACAGAAAATTCCGGTTGTCCAAATACCTACAGACTTTAGTCTTTTTCTAGAACCTGAGTGCCGCATGCACATCTGTTTTACAGATCTGGCATATTTATGTGCAGAATGTTCGTTCCTTGACTCTCAGGCAGATTTACACCAACTATGAAGGAAGCCCCATTTAGTCGACTCTTACTATATACTTATTACGGGTCTATTCTTGTTTTTTCCAGACAGTGCAGCCCTAGACCCAAAACACTTTGACCAGATTAAAACACTGTAATGTTTTCAAAAGAACAGTAAAGGAAAGTGGGATTTCTGAAAGAAGAGATAAGAACCAGTCAGTGCACACAAGATGTTAGGATAGATCCACATTGGGCATGAAAGTTCACAAGGTCGAAATATTGCAAAGGGACTGAGTGGCTTCCTGGCATGCAGTGATGAGTGCAACATTTTCAAAGTAGCTATTCAAATTATGATGTTGATGATAATGATCAACTAACAAGATGCACTAACTGCACAAAACTGTATGCATGATATGAAGTATACAGCAATTTTACAAATGTGCCACTGGTATGCAAAACATTAATTAGATACTAATGTTTAGATCAACAAAAACAATAAAATTAATAATGCAAAAGAATAGCCAACAATAAACATCACAGTAAAGGAAAAGATATTATTTAAAAAAATAACAAGGTACTCAAATGTAAACCATGTTATGACAGAGAATGACACAAGTGAAATGACGTCTAAGAAGAAAATAAAAGTTGTGACTTTTGTTTTCAAAAGCATGCAAACAAATTACTAACATAAAGAGAGAAATATAACATGTTAAAAGGATAACTACCGGGAAGGCTAACCTGGTCAACAAATGCCCGCACAAGTCAGATGTGTTGGCCAAAAGGTGCAAATATCGCAGCTATGCTGTAAACAGACACAACGCAATTACATCTTTGGATGAACGCAGAAGAAGAAAAAGATAACTTTCAAACGATATGTATCTTCACTGTATGATGCAGACCTAAACAATGAACAAGTAATTACAAAAACCAACTGAGTCTTTGGAGATGTGAATATTTGGAAGAATCGGTAGTATTTCATGGAAACAAAACAAAACAAACAAAAACAACCAAATACAGAGATTCCCAAAAAACAAGGAATTAAAAGAGAGTAACTGATGGAAATAATACAGAGAAAAGTAACATGCTTCTCATGGAAACCATGGATTTATTCTTTTCCTCTAAAATGGGTATCAGGAACCCATACAAGGCAACTTCACCACTTTTGACTTTTTGTTCACCCTTTCTGGTCAGTCTGCTGTCTGATACTCAATCATCAATTAAAAAATGTATTTGCTTTGACTCTGTAATTTATCTGTCCAACCCATTTTAATCAGGTTGCATCAGTATGTGAACTCTTTGTTGGCTTCTGAGGAAGGGGACATAACACATGAAAATCTGGTAATCTTAGTTTCAGCTTCTTGGCAAACAGGTCACCCCATAGTTGCTCTGCTCCTGTGCCAACGAAAAACACACAGAATGTTTATCACAGTCTCTTTTGGAAAGAATGACAGACTGCTGTCTCAGCATATGCATTAGCATAAACACGCACTGGAAATGTTACTTGCATTGTGACGTCAATTTTTGATTGATTCCTTCATTCAGTCCAATCCATTGTTTCTGCTTTCACAGTAGCACTATCACTACACTTACCAGCATCCTAACATAATGGATGTTCTCTCTCTTTTTTTTTTTTATCTCACACATAATTAGCAATTACTGATTGTCTATACTTACCAAGTCTCCAAACTCTGTGACATGACTGACATTGGTACCTGTCTCAACAATTCTGTACTGTTCCCCTAACGACTCGAGTGATAGGTTTTCCTATACAAAACAAATAAGTTCTTATTAGTAATGTTAAGATGAGCAGAAAGGGGTCTGATGATTAAAATGATCCTTCTCTTCATACTCAGTCAACAGGTTACTTTTACAGATGGGGGTCTCCACAATGATGTATTCAAGCTATTTTCCTCATGTTCTGTAGGTCAGCAATTCATTTCATTGATGCATTATTCAGTTCACAAATGCAGTTTTTATGGATACCCCTGAGACTCATTGCTGGAGATACTGCGTTCATGCTTTATGCGATACGTTTAGCAGGCAGCTAGCCATTCTGCAACGAGAGACCGACCTATATGGGTCAAAGCACAGTTCAATGAAGTTAATTGGGTGCTTTCATTTGAGCCAACCACAAATGACTTCACGGGACAGTCCAGTATGTTAGAAGGTAATAAAAGTCGGTTTTCCGTGTTTTCTGTGCCATAGCACATTTCTTCCAGGGCCGAGGATTTCACTCGTTTACCTAACACCAACCCTAACCCTAATAAAAACTATATGTTAAACTACCATTTCCTGAAATAGTTGACTGTCCCGTGACCTGTGGATTTTCCGTTTGTGGTCAGCTAATAAGAACTCTACTTACTTACTTAGCCGCTACTTTTCTACCTTGAGATGTATTGGTTTGCCAGAGAGATCGCTAGACTTCTCTGTCAGCAGTTTTCCTTCTGGCTTTGTTCCATTCAAGTCCTTTGTCAGTTAGGGACTTTCAGATATTGTCTTCCTATGGACCTTGGGTCACCCTAGAAGTCTGGTTCCTTGGTTCTTAGTCTCCCATGCCTGCCTTGGTGGCATAATTTCTCCCATTCTGCATACACGTCCAATCCATTGTAACTGTGACAGATCCATTTGGGTTTGTAAGGGCTGGGTATCAAGATCTTGAGGTATTGTCTGATTGCGGATTTTGTCCCTTCTTGTTACTTGGACCACTTTTCTCAGATATCTCATTTCTGAGGCTTTAATCTGGCTTCTGTGAACTGTTGTCATTGCCTATGACTCACAACCATAGGTCAGGACTGGCACATAGGTAGAGAGGTAAACAGCCATTTACATCCTCTTGTTAGTTTCTCTTTTGCTAAGAAATCCTTGATTTATGGCTTGGAAGAGTTTCCCAGCAGCTGCTTTTTGTGCTGCCAGCTCAGTCTTAATGCCGGCTTATAAGAAAGAACTGTTAATTTGTTGGACTTGAAGTTTATTTTCTATTCAATTGGGGCTCTGATATATGCTGTTAATTTGTTGGACTTGAAGTTTATTTTCTATTCAATTGGGGCTCTGATATATGCTGTTAATTTGTTGGACTTGAAGTTTATTTTCTATTCAATTGGGGCTCTGATATATAAAAACAGGGATTTTAAAATGTATAAATACAGTTAAGAGTCATGACATACTGCAGTGGTTAGCAAGCTTGCCTGCCTATCCAATGCGATGGGTTCAATTCCTAATAGAGTCACAGCTAATGTTTCCTAACCACCATGGTTGTGGAGTTGACCCAGCCCTTAGAGTGAATACCAGACATTTATCATAAATATCTAGTAAAGAAAGGAGTTCATAAAATGACCTAATCAACAACTGGCCCTTACCCATATAGGACTGAAGGTAACTCAAGGCCAGCGACACTGCCACAGAGAAATTACTGGCCTTGTTTAAGTGCACAGTTGGTATTATTATTATGATTACAAGTATTGTGTGTTGACTGGCAAATAAATATAACAGTAATTGAAAAATATAAAATGTACAAAAACAAACGATAGATCATTACGACGCTCAACAATCAAGTGAAGGGTGAGACGGATATACAATCAGACAGTTACTGGTGCCATCCAAATTGGAACTCTTTGTTTGCTGCTGAAGATGGGGTGCTAGTATAATTACCAATAATTTAAAAAAGGGTCTTTTATAATTACCTAAGTAATCCAGTATGATGGGCATGAGAAATACCTTATCTGAGTCTTCCATCCACATAACGCTGTACAAATCACCAAGATAGGTGTCTCTAGCACCATCATGGTAACAGGCCCAGGATGATTCAACCGAATTGGCTGCGGTTGTTGCGAACACTAAGAAAAATAGATATATATCATTTATATATATAAACCAGTTTTTCTTTCTTTTCACAAACCTATAAAAAACAAAGTATTTCAACAGTAGCATCTGTAGCAAACACTGAAAAACAGATCATTACTGGCTTATTTCAATAATAACATCTGTTGCAAACAAGGAAAAATAGAATACTAACTGGCATATTTCACCTAAAAGCGTCTGTTGTAAACACTCAAAAACAGAATACTAACTGACAAAATTTAATAACAGCATCTGTTGTAAATACTGGGGGAAAATACAGAACGTAAGTGACTAATTTCAACATTAGCATCTGTTTAAAACATTGAAAAACAGGACATAACTAGCTTATTTCAACATTAGCATCTGTTGAAAACACTGAAAAACAGGACATAACTGGCTTATTTCAACATTAGCATCTGTTGAAAACACTGAAAAACAGAACATAACTGGCTTATTTTAACATTAGCATCTGTTGAAAACACTGAAAAACAGAACATAACTGGCTTATTTCAACATTAGCATCTGTTGAAAACACTGAAAAACAGAACATAACTGGCTTATTTCAACATTAGCATCTGTTGAAAACACTGAAAAACAGAACATAACTGGCTTATTTCAACATTAGCATCTGTTTAAAACATTGAAAAACAGAACATAACTGGCTTATTTCAACATTAGCATCTGTTGAAAACACTGAAAAACAGAACATAACTGGCTTATTTCAACATTAGCATCTGTTTAAAACATTGAAAAACAGAACATAACTGGCTTATTTCAACATTAGCATCTTTTGAAAACACTGAAAAACAGAACATAACTGGCTTTTTTCAACATTAGCATCTGTAGCAAACACTGAAAAACAGAAGATGACTGGCTGATTCAAATTGTAGCATGAGGCAACAACACTTCACAATAAAGAAAATAAGAACAAGAATGCCCAAAAAATATTTTCAACATGTGAATATTATTTGTCAACTAGATAGATAAACAATTCATTAAAAGATTATAATTATCAAAAATATTATACTCACTATATTATATGATGTATTCACGTGATAGCAAGAAAGCAAAGATCACTCTCTTCCCCCCTTCTTTTTTTTCCTTTCTTTCTCCCCCTCTCCCTGCCACACACACACGCATACACTAAGATTCAAGCAATTTAAATGTAAAAAGACAAGCTACAAGTGAAAAGGCAGGCTGTACTCAAAGAATAAATATTACTTGCTTCTAGACATGATCAACAGTTATGTTATTCTAGTTTTGTTCTTCTTCTTCCAGCAGAAATCACTGATTGTTGGTTCAACTCTGGACGAGTTTTCTTCCAGAACTGGAATTTTGCATGCACAGCTGTTTTACAGATTAGGTTAACCTGAATGCAGACTTCTGATTCTTTACATCTCAGGTAGATGCACTCTGACTTTGATGGAAAAACTGATAATTAGTTTTAAAATGCTGTTTTTTCCTCCCCACAAATGATGCCTTGAAACGCATATGGAGTGTGCTTTTATTATAAATAAAGCTTACCGTTAATATTAGACTCCAAAATATCCTCAAACATGGATCCTGATTCACATGCTTCAACATAGAACAGCATCTGCATTTAAAGAGTTAAATGTAGTTATATCACGGGAAATGGCAACAGTTCACCGAAGCCAGCTTCATGGCTCATAAATGAGGTATCTGAGAAAGGTAGTCAAAGTGACAAAAAGGGACAAAATTCCAAACCAGATAATAGCTTTAGCCCAGGCGATGTGATTATCTAAATAGATTGTTTTGTGTTGAGAGACAGAAGAAGTGCTTAGGAGTCCATAGCAAAGGGGAACTGACGACCCTTAGCGCGACAAAGCCTGGTACATGATATTACAATATCTAGTTTGAGAATGGAGGTAAAGGCAGTCGCTGTGGCGTTTCTCTTGCTTGAGAATCAGCTGCACACACATATTGTGTTGTAGCTAACTTGCAAAGCATGCTAATTAAAGTGGAGACAGCTATGCTCTGAGTATCGCTTCAGAAGTCCAGGGTAGTTACTACAGGTCCAGGGTGGTTACCATCCTTTAGACATTTTCTCCAGAGCAGGCAGGTGTGTTGGAAAATGAACAGGTAGGCAGACTGGCTGGTTTTGTACCATTCAGTGGTAAACTAATGCACGGTGTCAGGGATAGTCCCGGTTATGGGACAATTTAGTGTGATTATGATGAATTAGCTAGGTTGGGAATTGTGACCCCCCCCCCCCCCCCCCCCACTAAACTCAGGGCATGTGCAAACAAGCCGATACAAGGATAAATCTGTGTTAGCTGAACGAGGCTTGCTGAGCATCAGCGAGCTGGGCTTCACCGAGTGTCCACTGGACACTGAACTCAGGGAGTTCAACAAAACGACTGTGCAAAGCACAGATCGGGGACTCTTGGCAGAAGACTTGTGTGATGCAGACGTTGTTTTGACCAGACCATTAGATTGTAATAGTTAGTGACAAATCGTAACGACCAGTAGAAATGTGGCGTGTAAGATGTTAGCTGTGATTCGTACCATCCGGTGTTTGACTAAATGTGTTTCGTACTGTACGGTGTAGGTAGTAATTGTTTCATTTAGATCTAATTTAGCAGTTAGATTCAGGATAGCAGTTGGACATTTCCAGTAGTTATACCACGTTATGGGAAATAAGACCATGTACTGTTTGTGGCGTTAACATCTGCTGACGCACCTCCAGCCCACACTCGGTGTGTGCCATAGTGTCTTTGGCATAGTGAGACAACGAATTAAGCTAGCCCTGTACGGGAGCGTGATAGGAGCTCAGAGCTTATTTCATGACCGTGAAAAGGCGTGCCCAGCGATTTTAAAGTTAGAAGCGGCCTTGTTTCAGAATAAGGAGCACTATCCCCCCTGAGGCACAGATCTCCATGAGTTCGTATCCTTAGATAATAAAGATTGTGTGTGTGTTCAACCAGTGTTTGGCTTGGGTGTATTCATTAGCAGTGCTTATTTGTCATTAGCCTGCAGCGCAGCCATAGATTCAAACTCCTAGACATGCAGGTTCTTGACAAACAAGCGCCGATCAATATAACCAGTCTAGTCTGACTCAGCCGACTAAGCGAGTGAATCTGTGGTCTAGTATCAAGCTATCGAGAATCAGGTGACGAATGAAGCTTTAGTGAGCAGGTGACGAGAGGTGCTATCAGTTGGGCTGACAGGGAGTGAGTGTGTCCTGCTCTGTTGCTGGAGATGGACATACACCCAGATTGCTACTTATACCACTGGAGTTAGAACTCTTCCATGGCTGCTGAAGAGGATGACAAAACACATATGGAAATGCCCAGAGTGCTGTGATGTTGGTTCTTGAAACTCAGCTCAACTCAATAGTATGTCATGATCTTGAAACACAGGACTTACAAACCCAAGTGGATCCATTACACATTGGGTTGGACATGTGTGCAGAATGAAAGAGAATCAGCCCCTATGGCAGGTGTGGAAGGCCATCATCATCATCAAGTGCCTTGCCGACTGGCGTGGGCGATCATTCCTCTCCACAATACGCTATCCTCAACTGCATGTATCAGTTTGTGTGTTGACACCCCTCCATGCCATGACAAAAGACTGATAAGAATCTTCTCATGATGTCTTTCTCTGTCTCTTTCCACAAATCTTTCCAGTGGTCACAACATGTTCCATTTTCCCTCTTTTCATAACATGACCAAAAAATGATGACTCACTTTCTGATGTTTGTGAAAAGTTGTCTTCAAGCACCTGCCTCTTTCAAAACATCTAGTTTACTCTTCCTAGCTGTGCAAGGAATTCTAAGGATTCTTCTGTAAAACCACATCTCCAAGCCCTCAAGATATTGTTTGTCTTGTTTATTAATTGTCCAGGATTCACAGCTATATGTTAAAACTGGCTCTACATAGCATGCGAGAATTCTGTTCCTAACCTCCAATGACATGGATTTATTGAATAAAATGTTCTTCATTGTATAAAAGGCAGTTTTGGCCTGTCCTATTATATTCTTTATCTCTGTGATAATCTTCCATTGGATGTTATCCATGTACCCACATACTTAAATGTCAGTACTTCTCCTAGAATAACGCCTTTGACTCTTATTATACATTTAGGCACTATTCATTTCTTGGAAATCGATATTACTTCTGTCTTCTCATTATTCAAACTGAGGCTCATTTTATCACTTTCTACCACCACCATATCTATTATTTCCTGTAGTTCTTTCTGACTTTTCGCTATCAAGACGGTGTCATCAGCATAACTCAGGTTGTTTATTGTTATGACCACTAACTATGATTCCTGATATATCCAAGATAGATCTCATTATATATGCACTGTACAATGAAAACAAGTTAGGTTTAATTTTACCAATAGTTTGATTATTTCTTCATGTTTCACACAATGTTGAATGTTGAATTAAGAATTGACATCACATCATTTGGGACACTCCCATAAGCACTTCATCCACAACTTCAGCAGCAAGCGAAGAGTTAAAATTCTGATGGTACCAGTAACAGTCTGATTGTATAGCAATCTCGCCCCTCCCCAGAGTGTCGAGCGTCGGCCAGATCCACTTGAAACTCCTCGCAGTGCCATTCTCAGACCGTAATGTTCTGTCTGCTCCTCGGCACTGTTCACTCGCTTCCAAAGGGCCCTCACAACATCCAGCTTGTCATATTTCAGTTCACCACCAAGTGGTGCAGAACCTGCCAGTCTATCCGCCTGCTCATCTCCTAACATACCGGCGTAACCTGGAGAAATTATCCAAAGGATGCTAACCACCCGGGACCTCTGAAGTGATGCTTGCCACTCTGCACGGAGCATGCCTGTCTCCACCTTTCTCAGCATGCTCTGTGAGTCAGTTACAATGACGACATGTGTGTACACCTGATTCTCAAGCCAACAGAAGGCAGCAGTGACTGCCTCCACCTCCATTCTCAAACTAGACGTTGTGATATCATATGCCAGGTTTTGTTGCGCCAAGCGACGTCCATTCACCTTCGCTATGAACCCCCATGCACTTCGTCTGCCCCTCACCACAGAGCCATCTGTATATACAATCACATCACTTGGGCGGGAATTGTCATGAATTATTTGTTGAAGTTCTGATTCTGCAGCACCAGCTGGCCAGTCCCTGCACTCACGTCCAAAAGTTATTAGTACCCTGCACAAGTCTGAAACATGATCGGACACTTTGACCCACTCCTCTCCTTGCCTAAATTTATCAAGCCTGTACACATGTCGAATTGTGTCTTCAGCTTGCGCCATCCAAAACTTTCCTCTTTTCAGTCTGTGACCCTTAGCTCTATCTAGGGTTTCATGCAGGAGGTGCCTCTTGTCCGCAGCTACTCTGAGATATGACTTTGCCTGCAGAACGTTGAGCCTATCTGCAATAGTAGGCAGTGCAAGTATATATCGCATACATACTTCCAGGGTATCTCTTGAACATCCCAGAATCACCCGCATGGCTTCATTCTGTATGTGTTCAAGTTTCATCAGCTGACTCTTTGATATGACAAGCATGCCAAGTCCATAATCTATCACTGACAGGATCACATGTTGGAACATTGTGAACAACATTCTTTGTTCCATGTTCATTGCTGCCATAATCTTGAGAGCATTGAGTCCTTTTTGGCATTTCACTGCAACTGCATCCACTTGATTCCTGAAGGACAGGCTTCAATCAAAAATGATACCCAGGTATCTCAGTTTGCTTTCTTGTTTGATGTTAATGTTATGAACTGTGAGGTTTGGAAAGCCAGCTTTTACAATTATATTGTCCAGAGAACACCACAAAACAGCTGCACACCAGTCAGTCACTTTGTCCACAGTTGCTTGTAACTTGTGAGCTATCCGTCGCCTATCTCTCCCCTGCCTATATGCAAGAACAACATATGTTTCACACATATGATTTCACACACAAAAATCATGTTGTATAGTCAATGAAGCATAAGTTAAGAAATTTTTTTTTTTACTTCTATACCTCTTTCCAAAAGAGTCCTAAGGATGTATATGGCATTGTTTGTACTTTTTCCTTTTACAAATCCACATTGTTCTTCACTAATTTCTGGTTGAATCTTGTTTCTTATTCTTCTCATTATCATTCTTAGTAAAATCATTCTCTGCGTCATTCGGTTTAGAGGGAGGTAAGGGGAAGAATCCTGGGGATTACTGCAGGTGCAGGTGTGTCTTGTGCTATGCTCTTGCAGGAGAAAGACCTAGCCAGATGGCACACTTCTTTTCTTCTTGTTTCCGTGTTCTGCTTTGTGGCATTAGGCATCACAGGTTAATACAGTGATTCCCAAACTGTGTGCCGCAGCGCCCCGGAGAGCCAGAACCTCTTCACAAGGCACCGCAAAATATTCGAAGACACAAGTTTTTTTTTTCTCACATACAAAAATTCATACTTTTACTTAGGTTAGGGTGCCGTGGAAACGTTTTACTTCAAAAAATGTGCCATGACTATGACAAGTTTGGGAAACACTGGTTTAATAGATAATTCACATCTGAGCTAGGGCATGCTCGGAAGCCCAGGATGCTGTGATCATGTGGAGGCCCAAGATATCAGTGACTCCTTCATTCCATGTTCTTCCTGATCGTCCCTACCTCTTGGTATTTCTACTTTCATTTTGCTACCTCTTGTCGTTGGCATTACTAGATTCATTCCCATTAATGGACAAACCATTTCAGTCTTTGTTTTTCAATAAATTTAATTATTGGTGTTATTCTAATTGTTTTTGTAATTTCTTCATTTCTTATATGATGACTTCTATTTTTTTGTTCATATGACTTTCTCAAACATCTCATTTTTAAGATAGTCGATTTTCTTTCATGTTCTATAGTTAAAGTCCAAGTCTGATACTGACAGCACAAGGTTGGTTTGAAGGTTGCATTTATTATTTTTTGTTACATTTATATTTGGATAACTGGGTGTTTCAAAATTGGGGTCAGTTGGTACATGACAGTTTGGCTTGTTGGATTCCTATTTCAATCTCTGTCATCTTTGCATGGCATACACTAGGGTGCAGTGAAGTTGATATTCTTTACTTTAAACCTTTAAAATGTATAATCTATAATCTTATAGTCTATAAAGATCTTATAAAAACCTTAACATTATCAATCTATAAAGCTTAACAATTATAGACTAAAATAGTCTATGGGGTAGCAAATAGCAAAATGTATTAGACAAACATACATATCCTGCATTTGAAAAGGAAAATATTTTTAATAAAATTTGAATTTTTTTTTTTAAACCAGAAAGCCCTAGAAGGCTTGAATATGACATTTCTGACAAAACCCAATTATAACCCAGAAAGGTTAAACAGGAAATTTCTTATAAAATCCAATTATAACCCAACAGGGTGTACATGATATTTATGACTATACTTAATATTACTACAAGTCCATTCAAATTAAGGAGAAATTATGTACAAACTCTATTACAGCTCACTCACCTGCTTGTATTGCTTATTTTTATGCATAGACTTGATTGCGTTGTGGAGGTCCTCTGCATAAAGAACCTAATCAGAAATACAAAACATAATTTAAAGATTCTTTCTTGCAATACATCAAACAGCAACCCTAAGGGACACAATCTATTGTTTGTGTACGTTAACATAATAATGTTCTGTAATATTTAATATTGCTTCAGCTTAGGGCTATGTATGTAAGTATGTAGGCTGTACCCCACCAGGACATCACGCACGTGACAAACACCCAGTGAGACAAAGTGCCCTAATGTGGATGAGTACCACCCATGGAGAGGTCTCAGAAACCCTGTTCAACCGTTAGCCCATATTTAGGACCTGGCTATATTTAGCCCCCCCCCCCCCCCTCTCCACCCGCTCCCCAGCAAAAGCCTGGGTGGGGCTTCAAAATAACAAAATAATTGCATACCACTGGGGGACGAGGCTAAGGGTTAGGGTTTTGATTAGGGTTAGCTAGGAGTTTGATTTCAAAATAGTTGTGACTTATTGTCTCAGTCAAAGTCTAAAAATGATTTGCACACGGGTCACCTGGGTAAAAGTTTGACATCATAGCATTCAGGACAAGCCCATAATCACTTTGCTGTGTTCCTAAGCAGTCTCCATACTGATCTACCCATTGTTATTTGGTTAAACTACTCATCTGAACCCCCACCACCCACCCCCGAATCACCTGCATCCAGTCACACACGTTGTATGATGTTTGATAATTTAAGAGGTAATATTTGAGGTGACATTCTGATTAATTGAGCCATCAAAGTGTCCTAATTTCTTACTGAGTCAGGGAATCCCAGCATACCTGGGGCACCATGGTCAACAAAATTGACAAATACACGATCTTCTGGTCCACTGTAAATATAAAAAAGTCAGTTTCATTCATTTATAACAGACAACTTACAAAAATTGACTTGATTGTCATACTTGGCTGGTTATCAGTTGACATTCTCTTTGCTAATGGGTTGACCTGTTATCAGTCACTGTTAAAACATCATAGATAATGAGCTGACTGGTTATCAGTCATTGTTAAAACATCATAGATAATGGGTTGATTGTTTATCAGTAACTATTAAAACACCATAGCTAATGGGTTGACTGGTTATCAGTCGATGTTAAAACATCATAGCTAATGGGTTGACTGGTTATCAGTCACTGTTAAAATATCATAGATAATCTGTTCAATGGTTATCAGTCACTGTTAAAACATCATAGCTAATGGGTTGACTGGTTATCAGATGATGTTAAAACATCATAGCTAATGGGTTGACTGGTTATCAGTCACTGTTAAAACATCATAGATAATGGGTGTACTGGTTATCAGTCACTGTTAAAACATCATAGATAATGGGTTGACTGGTTATCAGATGATGTTAAAACATCATAGTTAATGGGTCGAACCATAAATGATTTGCCCCCATGCCAGTGAAAACTACACAAAATGCCTTTGGCTGTCCCATGTGAAAAACCTCAAAGACAGCAGTCCTAGGAAAATCCAGCTGCTCCTTCAAACATTAAAACCATAAGGCAGCCACCAGAGGTGCCAGGACCAACAGTCTGTCACCAAAAATGCAGTTTACTGTTGATGGAGACAATAGTCATGATAAACCAGCAGGTATACGTGAGTTACTGCACAACTCATATGGTCATTTCCATGGCAACAAGCCAAACACCATATTCTAAATATTTACTTGGGAACCTTCATGTCTGGGGACACAGAAAAAAAGCATTCTACATTACATCTACAGCTCACAGTGTTGCACCATGCATTCAACTCAGTACCTGGCCACCAGAACCAGGTTTGCTTTAAACTGACCAATAATGCAACTGGTTAAACCAAGAGAACCGTTCCCAGAACAGTTAACTGGTTGAATGCTTATTTCCATTTTGAAAATGATTAAAAGTTTACATATAAGAGGATTAACTTACTGCCATATGTTTTATACTATATGGCTTAGTCTCTCTCCATTATAACAACCTGCAACTTGAGAGCATCATACAAAGCATGAACTACTAGCCCCAGCAACGATCCCTTTGGATCTCCAAATAATTTAATGAACGTATGACCTTTGGAGCATGAGGAAATCATTAAATAATTGGATGACCACGGTGCAGATCGAACTCACAACCTCTGTTTAACTTTCCCATGACCAAAGTTGGAAAGGTATTGTCTAGTTCAGTGCACCAGCTGATTGTGCCACAGAGCTTCCTATAATGATCTTATTCTTCTTCTTCTTTTCTTTCTCCAGCCCAGTGGTTTTCATATGAGAAGGCCACAAGCCTCTAAGGCAGGGCTATTCAACGTTTACTCAGGGGCTACAATTTTGAAAATGAGAAACATCACGGGCCAGAGGCCCAAGCCCCAGCATTGAAAGATAATAATTACAGTACACTGGTGGTGATCCACGGGCCAATTGCTATGCCTCCGTGAGCCAGATTTGGCCCGCAGGCCACCAGTTGAATAGTCCTGCTCTAAGGGTATAAGGGTTGTGGTTGATGCATTCTCTTCCCTGATCCGTACAGCTTGGTTTCCACAAGAGTGCCGACTGACCAGACCTGAGATCTATTTACTGCATGTAGAGATTATGGCTTGAGCAGATGTTCCTGGAAATGCAGTCTTACCAACCTCTAAAATGTTGGACTCCCCTGTGACGACATCTGGGGTAGGATATTAATAAAGAACCTGATAAAATAGTGTGCATGCTAGCAGAATTTAAAATGTCCTTACTTAGTAATGTTATATTAACTGTATATCCTTTGCAGGCATTGCAGAACCAGCCCCAGCAATTCTGTACAGTTTAGTTGTACAAGGCAATTTTACATTCAGTAGTTTGCCATCTTGTAATGGTTGGTTCTTAAAACCAATAAGTGAATGGCATGATACTAAGCTGCAGATTTAATTTGGAATGCTTTTCAACTGTGCCCTGCATGGTCTGTTCAGTAAACTGTAGATTCAGAAAATGGCGAGTGGCTTTGGGCCCGAGAACCTGTGGTGTTTGGTTATACTGATACAATTGGTTTGATAAGCAGTCTGCTGCCAAATTGCCTGCAGCTGAAATCAAGCTAGGTACCTCAAAATTGTGAAACTCATTAACAATGCCTAAGCCACAGATTCTGACACGTGCATGTGTCATACGGTAATTGTGCTTGCAAAATTACCCTCAAACATCGAAGTGTTGCTGAGTGTTGTCAACAAATGTCCGCCCAGTTATCTATTGGCCACAGTTGAAACAAAAATGGAGAAACTGAACTGATGTTATTACAGCACTTTGACCCTCAAAAACAACTTTACAGCCGTGTAAATCAGGTTTTCTAACCTCTAAACATCAGATTTTGTATTAATTCATTCAATCAATGAGCCTGTCCTTTACAGAACATCGCTCTCTTCATAGCATCCCTGAAAGTCTCTCTTTCTCAAGCCAGTTCTTCAGGCCTGTTTGCTCTTATAGAAAAACATCTTTAAAGCCCTGTATCAACCTTCCTGGTGATCGATCTCTGCCTCATTTATTAGCTAAAAATTCTAAATTTATGACATTAATTGTGTGGCTGCATGGCTTAGAGGTTAGTGAACATCATTTAACAATTTCATGATTCTTGAGTATTAGGGTTCATTCCCCACAGTCATCGTCATGAAAAAAGTCCTCTGCAGAACTTTACTCTCATCACAGTCCAGATGAAACAAACTTGGTCTCTTTCCAGCTCTCCCATCTCATTTCTGTGCCAGTCTTCATGTTGTTCGGCCCTGCCCCTCCATTCTAGTAACATGCATCTGAAGGTGTAAAGAGACTGAAGAATACAGGTTTTTAACACAAACACATTTTATTCTTACCTTTTAATGACCTTGCCTTCTCGGCCTAGAAGTTTCTTTATTCCTTCAGAATTACCAGTCAAAACATGCAGAAACACTTCTGGGGTTACATCCTACAAAACAAAACACACACAAAATTTTCTCTTCATTTTATTAACAGCATTGTAGAACATTCAAGAACAAGATGTGGATATAGATCACACAATAAACTGCCCAGCACATTCACAAGTACTTCTACTTTTTCTTCTCTTTCAAGTTCACCGGTTGTAAACTCTGACGGAAAGTTCTGGTTGTCTGTCCTCTGCCAGACTTTAGTCTTGCTCCAGAACCTGAGTGTTGCATGCACATCTGTTTTACAGATTTGGCTTACTTGCTTGCAGACTGTTTATTTATTTCCTCTCGGGTAGATGTACAGCAACTTTTTAGGATCCCCTAGTTAGTAGACTCCTACCACATGCTTGTTTTTGAAGTAGCGAGTCTATTCTCATTTTCCCACAATGGAGCCCTAGAAACCTGACCAGGTACATGAGCACAAGGGAGTGAACAAAATATGCTGGTTGTGTGGATCTGTAACTATGTTGATCCTGCAAGAAGTGAATGAGAGAGAGAGTGCAATACGTGAGTAGCCTGTGTGTTACTGAAACAGACAAGATAATCATAAGACATTTTCTGTGAGCGACAAATCATCTTTATGCTATCAAAGACAAACATGGAAATGAATAGGACACTAGAACAGAAAATAAATACCTGTGAAAAGTGTTGTCTCTGAAAGGCCACTAGCAGCACAAGAGGAGACAGGGTTACAAATATCAGCATAAGAGAGAAAGTTGGAATAAGACTGTGTCTGAATTATATTGACAGACAAATAATGAAATGGTTTGGCTGTCTAGTGAGAATGCAGCCAAACCACAGGGCATCTGGGAGGAAGGCGAGGGGAAGACCAATAAAGAGATGGATAAATGGTGTAGGTGAAACCTGTAATAAAGTTGAAAAAATTCAACACCCAAGCCACTCTAGAAGAGCATGACAAATACAAAAAAGCCAAGACACTGGGCTGCAACCTGGTATCAGTGAGACAACAAAAGAAAGAAATACAAATCATCTATGGTTATGCACAGTAAGCTAAGATGTTGATTCTTAAGTCAGTAATCAGTAAACAATAAACAAAAACTACGGTCAAATGTTAAATTTTAGGAGCTCACGCAAAAACCATCTTTATTTTACTTTATACCCCGAATGCTCTTATTTTCATCTCTTCGGATAACTCTAGGAACATTTCAAATTAGTCCCAAGGTCTGTATTACCAACACACTCTTTTAATGAGTTCTGACAAAGACTGAACTGAGCACTGAGTCTATCTTGTGTGCTGAGATGTTAGCTCAACAGTATCAGAAAGAGAGCAAGTTACCGATCCAGTGTAATCTTTAGGCACTCCGGGGTAAACGTTAGGTCCATCTGGCTTATTTATGATATTACCAGGAAAAGGGTTGCTGGAAAAGAAAAAATTACATTGCATCAGTTATTTGATTTTATTTGCTTGTGGGGGTGTGTGTTCGTGGTAACACCCTACATACTTTTGTGGTGCTTGTACAATTGGTTTGGTTATGTCATATAATTTACCACACACATGTCACTGTGTGTGCATGTGTGTTTGTGATAACACCTTACATGCTATTGTGCATGCTCATACAATTGGTTTGGTCATGTCATATAATTTACCACACACATGTCATTGTGTGTGTGCATGTGTGTTTGCAGTATTACACTGACTACAGTTATAGATACTTTTACATTGGGTTTAGTTATCAGGCAATAGCAGATCCAAATTTGTAGCAACTGGGTGACACCATACTTGTTCCATTTCTATGCCAGTAAAAATCAACAGAATTCCCATCACTGACACTTGTGAAGAGACTGACAGACTGTAGTCTCAGCAAAGCCATCAGCATACATACACATTAAATACATAAGGCAGCCATTAGAAGTGCCAACACTTACTCTCCAGCATTATGAATACAGTTCATCATAGATGAAAGCAGCAAGATTGTTGTCACTAATATAACTCCAATGTTTGTTGTTTTTTTAAACCCCCACCTCGGCTGTTGTTGAGGGCTCTAATATAACCTAGGGGTTGAACGAGGTTTCTGGGACTTGTGCCCATGGGCTTCTCATCTGAATGGTGGCACTTTGTGTCACCAGATGTTAACTGCTCATTCTGAAGTCCTGGTGGAGCTGAAAGTCATTCACTCATGGAAGCAGCAGTTATAACAGATTAGTAGTTGCACACTCAATCATATAAGGCGCCACTGGTCATTTTCTGAATCTGTTGCACACAACACAAAAACATGAAGTGCACAAGTGAAAAGCATTCCAAATGAAATATACCACTCACAGTGTCACATCATGCACTCAGCTCAGTAGCTGAACAATGGAACTATATCATTTCAGTCAACATATGATGGAAAATGCAATGGCTAACTACTGTCAGAAGTAAAAACTTGCCATGACTAAAAACAGTCTACTTATCTATCCACCATGTTGACTGGAAGTTAGTTATATCATTTAATGTTCTATACACACATGTAAATGTCTACTTCTGCTTGTGTGTTTGTGTGTGAGTTATGAGTTGGATTTTCTTCACAGCACTCCAGACACAGGGAGTCCCCGCGGCGGAGCGGGTAGATGCTCGCTGCGGATTGGAAGGTCATGGGTTCATTCCCTTGGGGAGCCAGACTTTTTTCAAAATGACCTTGGCTCCCAGGTCGACCCAGCTTTGAGTGGATACCGGGTGCAGTCCCGGGAAGTAGAGGCCGCCGGCGTGATGCTGACCACATCACCCATCTTGTGCCGATGGTCTTTAAATTTAGGTCTAGCCCTATATGCCCTATAGCCTAAAGGCGCAGAGAAGGGTCCTTTACTTTACTTCAGATACATCCTTAGAGGCACAGATTCCCCCTTCAACATACTCATCATCGTTGCACGGTTCATAGTGCCAGTTCTTTGCTGGTTAACAAGACTTCTTGTACATCAGGTGTGCCTCTCATGCTTGGCTGTGCCAAATAATGTGAATGAGTACAAGCGTACTTTTCTGTGTGTCTGCGTGTTTGCGAGCGCATGCCTCTGTGTGTGTATCGGTATGTGTGTATGTGTGTGTGTGTGGAATACTGAAGCCAACCTTCACTATTGATTCATCACACAATTCAAATTTACATCATTTATTACTTTCTTCAGGAGAATGCTAAAAAGATGTTAGGTTATGAACTCTTGGGAATTTCTGAAAAATCCTATTTAAAAATGACTACAGGTAACTAAGAAATTGTTTAGAAATTTATTTATTTATTTATCTAAATGTTTGTTTGCAAATGTATAAAGATTTATAAATGGAAAAGCCAGAAACAGTGAAGCATTAAATGGAATGCACTTACTGGGGCAAACAAACAAAATATGTGTTGGGTGACCCATGCCATTACCCCATGACCTCTATCATTGAGGCTTATGGGATTTAAGTAAACTTGGCTTTTAAAATGCCATTGTGGTTGCACAAACACCTCTCTAAATACTATATTTAGTTTTAATATACTCACATTCAGGCCTCCTAAACTCTATGCACACATAGAATCAGTAGCATTTAAATATGCTTTTGGAGAACAGGTTACCAGAGAAATGGCCATTGTCTGCATTTAAAGAGCTGTGTCACAATAAGAAGTGACTAGATTTAGCCTTCTTTGGGCAAAAGAGTTGTCAAATAACATTTAAACTGATGATGACTGATTGGTGCTCAAAAAGTGAAAAAGGTGCTAAAACAACATGTTTAGTTTCTACTATAATTCTTGACCAACTGTCTAAACTATCTGCTTCCACTTACTCAGGGCTGTTGGCAATGTCATCATACATCATCACAACAATACGCTCATCTGGAATTCCATGATCTCGGACGATATGGTAAGCATGACATATGTCAGCCTGAAACATAAAAATTACAGACTATAGTAAAACTAAAAGTAAAGATCCCTGTTCCACGCCCTAAGGCGTATAGGGCATGTAGGGCTAGACCTATATTTGTATGGACCAATTGGCATAAGATGGATGATGTGGTCAGAATCACGCCGATTACAGACTACTATGGGCTTTAAAATTGTTGGCTGGACTAAAAAGAACTAGTCAGTAACACAAATAATATTACCCTCATTTCAGGCAATTAAGTAATTACAGTACAGTTCCAACTTTATAGAAAATAGGTCACCCATTAATTACTCCCTTTCTGCGCCAGTAAAAACTGCACAATATGGCCATCACTAACTTTTGTGGAAACAAAAAAATGGCCACAGACTGTAGTCTTAGCAAAGCAGCACACATTTGCATTGAATGTAGGCAGCCATCAGAAGTGCCAACACAAACAGTCAAACACTAATCATGTATAATCTTCATTTGCTTTTCTTTATGAATTTTCCCCCTTTCAAATAACTAAAGATAAATGAGGTTATTTATAAGTGATAAAAGTATTCTAAAATTGTTTTTAAAAAAACTGCTGAAGCAATACAATTTTTTAAATAGAAAATGGTAAGGATCACATTTCAGATTTTAAAGAGAAAATTGACCTGGGCATTCAGGTCAACTCAGCTCAATTGGGGTTCCAGGAAATGTCATGGGAAGTAAAAGCTGTCTGAGTGGAGTTGACCATATCACCCATCGAATGCCGATATAGGGAGTGGCCCTGGCATAGCGGCTATACACTCATGTGCAGATAGGAAGGTCGTGTGTTTGCTCCCTGCCAGAGCTGGACCTTTTTTGAAAAATGACTTTGACTCCCAGGTCGACCCAGCCTTAAGTGGTACTGGGTGCAGTCCTGGGAAGTAAAGACAGCCGGCGTGATGCTGACCACATCACCCATCTTGTTCCGACTAATCTATAAAAATATAGGTCTAGCCCTATATGTCCTTAAAGCATGGTAAAGGAACCTTTACTTTTCCATTTTTAGGCTGATATGAATCAAATATTCCAGGGGTGTAAAAAGGGTCCTTAACAGTACTTAGTAGAGACAGAATTCGTTTCCATGCATTCAGATGTAGACTTTTTGAGCAAGTGGGGTCAAACCTATAATTTATATACCAATCAATGCTTGGTGGGTGTCAAGACCACCATCACGCTGGCCGCCTTTACTTCCCATAACATTATATCGTACCCATGTAAACCTGGGTCGACCTAGAAGTCAAAGTCATTGCTGGGAAAAATCCGGCTCTGTCAAGACCTGAACCCCGACTTTCGGATCTGCATGCAAGAGAGCATCTAGCCACGACACCATGTAGTAATGGCTCTTTATTTTAGACCTAAAACAAATTTAAGTTCGTGTGCAACAGATACTTTCTTGTAAGTACAGGCAACGTCTTTTCTCAAAGAAAAATTAAAGAATCTGCTTACGATAAAATAGAATGGAATATGACAGTCAATAAAAAAAATGTTTTAAGAAACATGGGACAGAATCATTTAACTAAAGCAAGTTTAAACTGGGGTTTATTCCCCTTACTTCCCCTTTCTTGACTTTGGAGCGTCTTCTAATAGAACGAACAGCTGTAGACATAAATGGAGATAAACAGCCAAGTTAATTAGCTCACCTGATGTCTGTAATTGAAGAAACCGTTGGATCCTGCCACAAGCAATGCCCAGTGGTTTTCTGCGACGGCGGCAGCCACCAGACAAACCACAAACGTAGCAAGTGTAAACATGCTCATTGTCTACCAAAACTCAGACTTGGCTAAACTGTAACAGTGGAACTGATAATGAAACGTGTGGACTAAGTGCCCAAAACCACGGCCAGCTCCAGATTTTAGCTGGCCGTGCCCAAAACAAAGGGATATATCCTGTCCAGTGGATCATGTGACCGAGATCATGTGATTAACTGGTCACTGCACGTATAGCAATTTGAATGGACAATGTGGTTAATTTGTAATAAGTAGTAATCATTGTTATCACAAGAGTTCGTGGACAATGCGTGATCTATGTGTATGACTACACTTTGAACTCAAATGAACTAAGGCCTGCGTCAATAACTCTGACGCAATTTTTTTGTTTGATTTAAAGCACCACATTGGTTGTTGCCTGGGGCCCTAACATAATCCAACCTATGGATTGAAAGGGGTTTCTGGAACCTATCCGCCTATCCGAATGGTGAAATTTTGTATCAGCGGGTGTTTATCGCTCTATGTTATGTCCTGCTGGGGTTGAACGTCATCATCATCAACCCAAATACAGAAATTGAACTTCTCAAAATCATTCCACAAATTAAAATTAACGTGTCCTTTCCAGTCCTGGTAAAAATACACAACATCTTTAAACAGGTTACTAACAGGCCTTTTTTTAAAAGCATACTTATTTACTGCGCCAGTGTGATGTAATTTAAGACACATTGCACTATATAAGGTAAAGAACTCCTTTCGGCGCTTTCATGCATATTGGGCATACAGGGCTAGACCTATATTAGACAATTCGGCGTTCGAAGAGGGGTGTGGTCAACAGCATACCGAAGGCCTTTACTTCACAGGTGGAGTCCCATGAAGTAAAGGCGGCCGGCGTGATGCTGACCACATCACCCACTGAGTACCGATTGGTCTATAAAATATAGGTCTAGCCCTGTATGTCCAATACGCATGAAGGCATGGAAAAGGGTCGTTTACTTACTTTATATATAGCAACATAGTCTGATCATTACACAATATTTCACCCAACCTTTGTACGGCCAAGTGTTTTTAAAAAAATGACGTAAGTGGGAAAGAGAAGGTGGAAAGCAAAGATATAGTCAATCTGATTACAAGAAAAACTGAATACAACATAACATGTGACAACTATTTCATTGTTCATTTTTGAGATCATCTTCATGACACATCGGACATGACCATAAGTGCTCCGATCTCCTTCAGAGTCTGTCCTCAGCTGTTAGTTAGTTAGTTAGTTAGTTGGGTTATCCTCATTGCACTCCGGACATGTCCATAGGTGCTCAGATCCTCCCCTCAGTATGAACCCCAACGTCCGATGGCTAATAGTACCAGTTCTATGTTGATTAACAAGTCTTCTGGCGTAGCTGGTGTGCGTCTCGTTTTTTGCTGTGCCGATCTTAATTCCCAAGTCTGCCATTCTGGCGAGTGATGTGGATTCACTGCCACCAAAGTCCTCTATTCTTCCCATTTCTCTGAGGGCATTCCTCGGCTGTTTTTAGGCTAACAACCCCTATTCTGTTCTGGTTGATGTAAAATGTGACTAAAAAAAGATTGTAAGCTCAATGGAGGGAATGGAAAAGAAGCATACAAATATCAACTGTGCTGTCTTGTCCGTTTCGTTCTTTGATTTCTGTTTGTATTATATATACTACTACTTTCACAAAGACTTTAGCAGCGTCCGTGTAAGCGTTGCGAGTCCGACTCGTAATTCCAACGTACCGCGATCGAAATCCACTGCTGGCAGCGTGGATTTTTATCATGGTATGGGGCGTCGCAGGTCGACCCAGCCTAAAATGGGTACCAGTCCTGGGGAAGTAAAGACGGTCGGCGTTATGCTGACCTACTTTACACAGCTAGCGCCTATGGTCTGAAAAAATATGGGCCCTCTTTCGATATACCCGATGCGCCTAAAGGCGTGACAAGGGATCTTCACAAAGACTTTGATCGAAAGATTACGCCGAGCTTTCAGTCACTTTGTATGTCATATTGCTACGCTGTAAAAAGGCTTTACACTTTGCAGTCAGAATGGAGAAAGAGATAGGGCCCCAAGAGACTGATCGGTCTAGGTGGGAAGCCTAAAGGCATGCACCCGACAACTACGAGAAGGATCATAAAGAAAGGGAAAAAAAAGTTACTCATAATAACCTGGCGATGAAAGATAAAATAAGGTCAGTTCAAAGGGTGGGAAAAGAAAGAGTCATTCTCAGAATCACAAATAATTCGAAAATGAAATGCTAATTATTCAAACACCCAAGTGTCAGATCTAAATGAAATATATAACAATATATAATATCCGCTCCCAAATCTATACCCTTAAGTTTCCTTCCCAGATAAAGAACACTCCAATTTGCTGACGTTGTAAATTTGTAATTAAAGATACGATTGTATCAAAGTTCAAAACGTCTTCAAGCAGGAAGGGTCAGTATATATGAGCAAGTGCTCTTCGCAGGAAGCAAGACATCCTGGCCAACGTAGTAGGTAAATTAAATTAAATAGTAAAGGACTTGTTTACCGCCACTGGATCAGGTGGACCTACAATGCCAGGCTCTTGGCGAAGCATACATGTATCGTCTGTGATCGTTGCATGCATTTCACTTTGCAGTACCAAAGACAAATGCATTATTTACTATTTCTTATTACTGTTTACTATTTACTACAAATGCGATACTCGGTTGACGTCTCGTACACAAGGTAAAGAATGCTCACTGCATGTTTACCCCACTTATCCAGAAACTGTCACGTGTGAAAGCTACCTATTACTAGTAGTATACTATGATGCTAGCTGCGAACGCATATCCTCAACAGCGAAGCGACGAGGGTGAAAACATCAAGTGATATCACTATGGTGTAAACATGACCTGCCAACGCTTACAATGCAAACTGATCATGCCTCATCACGGTGCTACGCCTATGTGTTTACAGAAGAGGTTCATCAGATGGGTGATGTAGTCAACATCAGGTGATCACTTTTACACCCTTTAACAGACGGTGCTGGTCTTTTTTTTTACAAATGACCTTGGCTCCCAGGTCGACACAGCCTTTCATGGGTACAGGTAAAGTGATGGAAAGTAGAGGTGACCACATCACCTACCGAGTGCGGACTGGTCTATAAAGTCGGTCTAGCCCTACATATTCAATATACCTTGAGATATCCAATACATCTTGAGACGTAGACTAGAAAAGGGTCCTTTACTTTCTTATTGTGTTGTTTATTGCCTCTCGGGCAGATGTACTCCGACTTGAAAGGAATAGTATGTTTTT